CCGTTAACACTTTAATATAAAGCCAGCAACACTTTACTTTGCTATAACCATTTTTTAAAGTACCTCTAGCTCCTGATATGGAACTTAAACAGTTCCATATTATATGCTGTCCATAATGAGTAATAGCTTATGTTGTCTTACTCAAACATTATTCCTATTTTACCTTTTTCATCTGCAGTTTATCATTCTTGCCATAGTGAAGAGAAGTGCCCACCTTGTACATTCCTAACTCAGAAATGGTGCATGGGCAAACATGAGGTAAGTTTTCTCCCTCAAGTGTTCATTGTTTTGCCTAATGTTTGTCTCAGTGTTTCTAAAAATAAGTATACTTCAAGAAACAGGTTTGCTATTGCCATTTCTGTGTGTCTTATTATTTATTTTTGTGTAGAAGAACTGGTGGGAAAGGGGATAGGCCAAGTTGTGGGAGCAGGGTTGAAAGAATTTACCAAAGACAGAATGGGGAGAACAGGCAGATCTGTTGAAATACACTACTAAGGGAAGGGACAGGCAAGACGGAAGAGGTCTGCTGTGCATGTGGGTTAGCTGGGGATTGCTGAGACTTAACCCTTTAAGCCACCAAGGAGGCCCTCTCTCTCTTTAAATTAAAGTGTAGCTTGCATAAAATAAAATTTACTCTTTTAAGCATAGAGGTTACTGAATTTTGACAGAAGCATTTATGTACTTAATGTAACCACCACTACCAAAATCAAAATAGAGAACATTCATTTGTGATTCTCTATAGCACCATGCCTTATCTTCAGACCCTGTTTGTTCTAGTAGTAGTTTTATCTTTTCCAGTCTGCCACAGCTGTTTTGCTGTCATTTTAAATCTGGTTATAGTTAAATGAAATTCAGTCAATTGACTTTGAGACAACTTTTAGGTTAATCAGTGTTGGAAAAGCTTGTTAGCTAAGAAAAAGTGTTACATTCAGAGAATCCCAAGAATGAAAGTAGGATTTCCACCAGCTACATCTGTTCCATCGCTCTACCCCCTGGAAACTTCCCATCATGACCAGTGGGCCAAATTACCTTCTCAAATCTCCTGCACCTCCATATTGTTGTTAACATAGGGAATCTTACCGTATTTTTAGCCTCTAAACTGTATTTGGCACTGTGGACTATAGGTCATTTAAAGCACTGTGAATTTTTTTCTTAATTGTAGACAACTAAGAAATTACTGTTTTGTCACACAGAAAAAACCTTTAGTATTCTGGTGTTTAGACTTCCAGACATGTGTGAGACATACGTTTGCTTACTCTGACTATGATTACACTCTGAGGACCTCCCTGGTGGCCTACGGGTTAAGTCTCAGTGCTGTCACCACTACAGCCAAGTTTGATCCCCAGCCAAGGAACTGACCCACACATGGCATAGTCAGCGTCTTCTGTCTCATCCATTTCAGCAGTGTATTTCAGTCATTCTGCCT